CAATAATTTTAAACTCTCAGTCTTTAGGTCAAAGGCCGGGAAGGCTTTCCTGACCAGAACTGCATGTACTGTGGTACCTCAGGTTAAGTACTTAATTCGTTCTGGAGGTCCGTTCTTAACCTGAAACTGTTCTTAACTTGAAGCACCACTTTAGCTAATGGGGCCTCCCGATGCTGCCACGCTGCCAGAGCACAATTTCTGTTCTCATCCTGAAGCAAAGTTCTTAACCCGAGGTACCACTGTATATAAAAAAAGCCAACTAAAGAACCTGTGAAATCTCTTTCCTGCCTTGAAGGTGTCCAGACAAGGCTAGACCAGCACCTATCAAGGACTGGTTGTGCAATGGCCTGCAGCACAGGGATAGAAGCCAGAGGTGATTAACCCCTTGTGACCCACCAAACCAATTGCAGCCTGTCTGCCATTCTTGCAGCCTGTCTGCTGCATGTGTTACCAGAAAAATGCCCACTGCATACCCCACTATTCTTTTCTCTATACCTCTGTTGTGTTTTTCCATGTGCCTCACCACATGTCCCCAGGATACACATAAAATAAGTGCACCCTTATGTCACCCCAAAGCACCACATGACACGTGGTCTCACCTTTCTTCACCGTTTAAGTCAGATACATCTAACTTGTTAAAACAAGGGGAACTTGAATTTCTCTATGGAAAAATGTGTAAAATTGTTTATAAATGTGTAATTATTGCTTTTGGATCTTGTTGGTCATGTATGCCTCTTTGCATTGTGGGAGACCCTACACCCTCCATAATTCCCCTTGCCTGAGATCTTGTAAGGCTGCTGCCTGCCAGAGGAAGAAGAAGAAGAGGAGGAGGAGGAGGAGGAGGAGGAGGAGGAGGAGGAGGAGTTTGGACTTGATATCCTGCCTTTTACTCCCCTTAAGGAGTCTCAAAGCGGTTAACAATCTCCTTTCCCTTCCTCCCCCACAACAAACACTCTGTGAGGTGAGTGGGGCTGAGAGACTTCAGAGAAGTGTGACTGGCCCAAGGTCACCCAGCAGCTGCATGTGGAGGAGCAGAGACACGAACCCGGTTCACCAGATTATGAGTCCACCCCTCTTAACCACTACACCACGCAGGAAGTACCTGAGGGGTTTTCCTCCCCACCTTTTAGTTTATATGTGTCAATTGCCTTGAAATATTGTACTGTTTGCCCAGCTGTGTCACTCAAAAGGATCTCCAAGTTCTGCTGGGCATCCTGGTTGTCATATCAAAGGAACCTCAGGAAATCCTATTTCCAAAGTTAATGTTTTGTGTAAACTCTGTCTGGAACTATGTAAAACTTGCTAACCCTCAGGAATGTCTCATCTTGACCTGCCTGAGCCATTGGAACCCCACCTTACGTGCATTTCTAACATTTTGCTCTTGTGACACTGAGTTTTAAAGAGGGTGTCCTTCTTCTCCACACCAAAATTTCTAACCTTTAAAAGGAGATGTCACACTTTGTTCTTGGTCCCTCACCTCCTTGCAAGGGGTGGGGGGTGGGGATTCTGTTGCAACAGAAAATAAAGATCAGCCTTCCTTTCTCTGGACCCTGCCTCAGCTCATTCGTCACTGACCGATAACGAACTTGGGGGACGCTGAGTCCTTTAGACAGGGAGTTAGGCCATTAAAAGGCACACCCACCCCTATTTTCTGGTGACAGTATCAAAACTAATGATGTTATTAAGCAACTGTTGAACCACCACAAAAGCCTCTATCTAACTTATTGGACAGATTTATTTCCAGCACAGATTTATTTCCAGGGCTAGAATTATGGGTGGTCCCTAGATGGCCATTACCCACCCATCTCTTCCTATGTTTGATCCCTCCAAGGAAAACTTCTTGGCGTTTTCTTCCCATTTCAATATTCCTCCTTTTTTCTAATTTTAGAGGTTTTGCAGTGAAGAGAGTGTCAGGCCATGCCATGACTGTTCAGAAATTAGAAAAATAAACTCTGCACATGCTCAAAGGCCCTTTCCATCACACATCCCTGCAGCAAGCCGGGCTTTTGCCAAGGGGCCCAGGGCTTAAAATATGCTGTGACTTGGTTCAAATTAAGCTGTGAGAGGAAGACTAGGAAGTGAGTAGCGGGAGCAAAAGAGAAGCTGTGGCTCAGTGGGGGAGCAACTGCCTTCTATTTGAACATCCCTGATTCAATCTGCAATGGAATATTTTCACTTTCGCCCTCCCATCAGATGTCAAGGAGATGAAGAACTACACAACTTTTAGAAGACACCTGAAGGCAGGCCTGAATCGGGAAGTTTTAAAATGTTTGATTATATATATATATATATATATATATATATACACATATACATATATATATATATTGCTGGAAGCAGGCCAGAGTGGCTGGGGAAACACACAGGGTATTATTATTATTATTATTATTATTATTATTATTATTATTATTATTATTATATTACTACTACTACTACTACTACTACTACTACTACTACTACTGTTAATCCCTCCCAGGGGATCCGATTCCGGCGCCCTCTGCTGGCCAAAGGAAGAATCGCGAGCGCTTGAGGAATTGCGCTAAGCAGGAAAGGCGGCTGTTCTCACGTTTCTTTTAATTCGTGTCTAACAGGGAGGTTTGGGGAGGGGCAGCAATCCGATGCTGCAGAAGAGGAGGAGATTGCAAGGAGGCAGATATGAGCACAGGGCTCCAGGCAGGAGATCTCTTATATTTGTTCCCCAGGAGCTGCGAACAAGCAAAGGTGGAAGGAAAGTAATAAAGTGGTTCAGGATCGTCTGAGGCAGCTTATCCGGTTTGACCCAGGAGAATGCAACACAGATCACTGGTCCATCTATCTCAGCATTGTCTACACGGACTGGCAGCTGCTGTCAAGGATTTTCAGACAAGTAACACTCCAAGCCTTACCCGGAGATGAGGCCGATTGAACCTGGGGCAAAGCAGACTCACCACTGAGCTGCAGGCGTTTCCCATGAATCACTCTTGGCCTCCCCCTCCCCCCCCCCCCGCCCCGCAGCTGCTCCCCCAGATGCAGCTCAGGCAGAGCTGCGGACTTGGCTTACTGGCTGGTCAAACTGGAGATTCCTGCAAACCAGCCAGCACCTAAGGGCCATAGCTCAGTGGTGGAGCATCTGATCTGCATGCAGAACGTCGCAGGCCCAATCTTCTGTATCTCCAGGTAAAGCTGCAAAAGTCTGCGGCCTGAAACCCTGGAAACCCTTTGTCAGTCAATGTGGGCAATATTGAGCTAAAAGGTAAAGGGACCCCTGACCATTAGGTCCAGTCATGGCCGACTTTGGGGTTGTGGCGCTCATCTCGCTTTATTGGCTGAGGGAGCCAGCGTACAGCTTCCGGGTCATGTGGCCAGCATGACTAAGCCGCTTCTGGCGAACCAGAGCAGCGCATGGAAATGCCATTTACATTCCCGCTGGAGTGGTACCTATTTATCTACTTGCACTTTGACGTGCTTTCAAACTGCTAGGTTGGCAGGAGCAGGGACCGAGCAACGGGAGCTCACCCTGTCGCGTGGATTCGAACCGCTGACCTTCTGATCAGCAAGCCCTAGGCTCTGTGGTTTAACCCACAGCGCCACCTGCGTTCCAATATTGAGCTCAGTCTAATTAAGACTCTTCTATTCCTGTTTAAACCTGCCCTTGATAGGAGGGCTGGAATCCTATTTGATCTTTACAGAAATCATAGAATTGTAGACTTGGAAAGCACTCATCCTCAAGTCCAACCTCCTGCAATGCAGGGATCACAGCTTAAGGAAGGACCTCGGCTCAGGGCAGGATTAGGTCCTAGATTCAATCCCTGGCAAGATTTCCAGCGAGGACTGGGAGAGACTCCTGTCTGAAACTCTAGAGAGAGCTGCTGCCTGTCAGTGTGGACTCTGCTGAGCTTGATGGAGCATTGCTCTGGCTCAGTATTCGGCTTGAAACGTCAGGCTTCAAACAGGGGTGCTGTCAAGGCAAGACTTTGGAGGAGTCTCCCGGCTACATGAGCTGGAGGGCCCCAAAATGCCACAAGGAAGTGATGGGGAACCCTCGTGCCTCAAAAGAGGGGTCCCGCGTAAATTCACCAAGTCCAGCTAGGGATGCCAACTTGAATAAAAATTGGGGGAGGGCAGGTAAGCCCCACCCCACATAATCGATCACATGACGCAGTGCACACACAGTATTTGAATGGCAAGGCCCGTCAATTGGGGGGGGAACCTGGCCCCCTCAAATATTTCATTGGGGGCCCGAAAACCCCTAGGTCCCTAGGAGTTGGCTCCTATGAGTCCAGCATCTAAAATGACCTCACGGCTCCACCGCTGCAAGGGAGCCTTAATTGATGATGAAAAACTGTTGCCCATATTTTGCAAAGAGAGAGACCATTTCAGATGCTCAGAACTTCGATCAAGTCTCTCCTCCTGCCCCCAATAATAAATCCATCACCGATCACGTGTGGCTTTTCGAAGTTCGCTGCTTTGTTCAAAAGTCGAATTTTATTAAACAAGAACCAAACAAAAACGGGGGGAAACAAAACCCAAAAACGAACACCTGACAAATTTTCTCCGGGAACAACTAGGGGGGCGGGGGGAGGAGAGTCTGTTCTGGGAGTGGCCGACGCTGGCGATGATTTTGGGGGGCGGGGGCGCCAGGCGTATGTCCCGATCGCCGGCCTCTGTCTTTAAAGTGCTGTTATACATCAACAGTTTACAAGAGATGATGGTCGAGGGGGCTGGGAACATAAATAAATATACAGAATAAATAAACCAGCAAATAAATAAAGAAAGAATCGTAACGAATACTGGACGGGGGGAGTCGGGGAAATCACAGTACGCTTCTTCTATCCATTGCACATCGCCGCTTGGAAGCCCCCCTCCCCAGACCAAGTCTGTGCCAGGGTGGAGAGGCGTGGACCCAAAAAGTGGAAGAGGATGGAGAGAGAGAGAGAGAGAGGCGGAGGCCGGCCAAGGAACTGGGCTGGGCGGAGCGGGGCGCTGGTGTGACTCCCCTTCTCACACTCCCCCCCCCCAAGTCAAAGGAGCTCGCCTCCGCCCCCTCTCCCGCCTTCCTTACCCTCCACCCTCTCCGAGGTCTTTTCAGTCTGCCTGTGGTCCCGATGCCATCGGCGGAACAATCCGACGCAGCCTCTATTTACACGACGGGGGCGGGGAATGGAGCGCAGGTCACTCCGGATTCCCTCGCCTGTCTTATTTACACAGCTCTGCTTCTTTCGATTCAGGCATGGCTTAGTGTCTCGCGGGCGTCCTCCCCGTCCAGGATTTCTTGAGTGTGAGTTTGTGTGGCACGCACGCCCCTCCCCCCCCCCATCCCGCTTCCACGCTTCTCTAGCAGCGACGGCTTCGGCCCCAGACTTTTGCGGGGAGGGAGGGCGCTGGATGTGGGGAGGGTCGCTCACTGGGGCAGCAAAGGAGGCTTGAAGGAACAGTTCCCGGTGCAGTGGCGGGGAGTCAGCATTTTGCAGGAGAAGTGGTGCAGCGCGTCGTGGGCCTCTGTGGAGCGGGGTGCAAGAGAGAGAGAGAGAGAGAGAGAGAGAGAGAGAGAGAGAGAGAGAGAGAGTCAAACGCAATATAAGTCGTCCCACATGCCAGTCCCCCGCGCCCCAAAACTCATCGGTGAAAACGGAGTGTTAAAATCCATGTTTGGTTTTCTTCTTTATTTCATAAAATTTATATGCCGCTTGATTGTAAAAGCAAAAAGCAAATCTGAAAGCGATTTACAAAAAAGATAAAACAATGTCATTATCAATAAGAAAAACTCAGCTGTTTAAAAGTTTCACAAAGTTAAAACAACAATAGACTGCATTTCAGTGGGTTTGATTCTATGATTAGGTGGCCAAGCACAGATTAAAACTCCTTGACAGCTGAGTGGTGTTGTTGGGGGGGAATCTTGACACATTGACTAGGCACCCTCAGAGCCAGGGGTAATGCAATATGGGGTGGGGGACCCTCTATCTTCCCTCTCCCTAAGCAATTGAGCATCCAGGAACCCCACTGCACACACCCTTAGGGCCCCAAACCCTTCAAGATCACAGCCAGGAAGGCTTAATCTTCTTGAGGTCCATGCAATCTGGAGGTGGAGCGGCTCCACCCTTGTCATTCAGCCCAGACACTAAGATCTAGCTCTGAGGTTCCGTTCTGGCAGTTCCATCACTGGGAGAAGTGAGGTTACAGGGAACCAGGCAGAGGGCCTCCTTGGTAGTGGCTCCTGCCCTGTGGAACACCCTCCCACCAGATGTCAAACAGATAAACAATCATTTGAGTTTTAGAAGACATCTGAAGACAGCCCTCCCTGTTCAGGGAAGTTTTTTATGTTTGATGTTGTGTTTTAATTTGTTGAAAGTCTCCCAGAGTGACTGGGGGAACCCAGTCAGATGGGCAGCATATAAATAAGTTATTATTATTATTATCTTCATCTTCATCATCGTCAACAACCATACATCCCTTTTAAATCTTACCTCTGGGTTTTATTAAAATAGTATTTATATTTTTATTGTTGTTATTAATAACTTGACTTGGAAATGTATCAAGCCACCCTCCCTCTCTGTATCTTCACCTCCATGACTGAAGGACAAGAAACCACAGAAACTTGGAAGGAGGAAAAAAGAGGCATAAATGCCTTATACTTTCTTAAAAGGGGTAATCCTATATGTTGGTATAGGGCCAGCTTGGTGCCCTCCAGGAGTTTTTGACCGCAACTCAGCAGGCTGGGGCTGATGAGAGTTGTTGCTCGAAACACCTGGAGGGGACCAGATTGGTAAAGACTGCTTGCCTAGACAAAAGCACACCCTGGTGAGTTCAGTGGGGCTTCACTTCCAGGTAAGTGGATAAGAGATCGTGGCCTTCAAATGTCACTGAAATCTGTGGCACTTGCTTCCGAATAAATGTGCATAGAATGGAGCTGCTTATTGCCCAAATGAAATGAGCCTTAGAAACAAGCTGATCGCCTTGATTGATTGATTGATTGATTGATTGGCTGCATTTATATCCCACCTTTCCTCCAATGAACTCAAGGTGGTGTACATGGTTTCCTCCCCCCCCCCCCATTTAAACCTCACAACAACCCTGTGAGGTAGGTTAGGCAGTGGCCCAAGGTCACACAGTGAGCTTCATGTCCAAGTGGGGATCTGAACCCCTGTCTCCCAGGTCCTAATCCAGCATTAGTTCCTTTGTGGGCTGTTCAAAGGGAGACAGAGACCGTCAATCTGTGAGGCACTTTGACTAATGAAAAGGTCCCATACACAAGATTGATGCCTATTGCACCTATTCTGCTCCAGACAAGCCCCTGAGCATAATCTGTGCCAGTGTGGTGCAGTGGTTAGAGTCCTGGACTAGGAGACCAGGGTTCAGATCCTCACACATAGCCATGTAGGTCACTGAGTAACCTTGGGCCAGTCTCCAGCTCTCAGCCTACCTTACCTTACAAACTTGTTGTGAGGATAAAATGGGGAAGAGAACTATATTCTGCATATGCTGGAAGCTGTCTAGGGTGGCTGGGGAAACCGTCAGATGGATGGGCTACAAATACATGTTGTTGTTGTTGCTGCTGCTATTTTTGTTTGTCCAGCTTCTTGGAGCAAAGGTGGGAGATAATTTAAATGGATCTGATGATGCTGACAATCTGATAATATACATATCAGTATACTCAAGATATCAGGGATGCAGGTGGCGCTGTGGGTTAAACCACAGAGCCTAGGACTCAGAAGGTCGGCGGTTCGAAACCTTACGACGGGGTGAGCTCCCGTTGTTCAGTCCCAGCTCCTGCCCACCTAGCAGTTCGAAAGCACATCAAAGTGCAAGTAGATAAATAGGTACCGCTCCGGGGGGAAGGTACACAACATTTCCGTGCGCTGCTCTGGTTCGCCAGAAGCGGCTTAGTCATGCTGGGCACATAACCCAGAAAAACTGTCTGCAGACAAACATTGGCTCCCTCAGCCTGTAAAGCGAGATGAGCGCTGCAACCCCAGAGTCATCCGCGACTGGACCTAATGGTCAGGGGTCCCTTTACCTTTACCTTTATACTCAAGATATTGCTGTTGCTATTGAATAACTACATTGATACTGATGAGGGGAGTCCCTCCAGTGAGACGTTTTTGCAGAGACACGAAATTCTGACGATGCATAAAATACAGATGATACTGCCCCACCAAACCAGCAGTTTGAGGGGGAAGTTTCCCCGCATTTCCAACCAACCTTTTAGCTTCTGCTGAATGGCGTAGCGAGCTTTCCTTTCTTGGTCCAGCTCATTGCACAGGGTATCTGGAAAGAAAAGAGGAGAGAGGGTGGGTGGAGATTTGGGAGAGGGGATGAAAGGGTATTTGATCCACACACAGCCTGTCTGGCCACACTGCCTTTCATCTCTCAAGGCCCCAATAATCTGCCTTCCTTTGCACTGGTGTTTCCCAAACTTGGTTCTCCAGCTGTTTTTGGACTACAACTCCCATCATCCCTAGCTAGCAGGACCAAAGTTTAGGGATGATGGGAACTGTAGTCCAAAAACAGACCCAAGTTTGGAAAACACTGCCTTACAATATGCTTTGACAGCCCAGCTGGAAAGGGGACAAGAATCCTGTGACCCCAAAAGAAAGTGAAAGGCAACAACTGTTGAAGTTTTTAAGGTAGCCACCTTAAAAAGGTAGAAGTTTTTAAGGAGAGAGGCTTTGCTAATTGCTGCTTATTGTAGCAGCAAACAATTTGCAAGGAGGGTTGGACCTGCTAACTTCTTGCAGCAAAAGCAATGCCATGTTGCTCTGGAAAAGGGTCTAGCTCAGCAGTCAAGCATCCTCCTTGCATGCAAAAGGTCCCATGGCATCTCCAGGTAGGATCAGGAAGTCCTCTGTCTAATAAACAAGCAAAGCCACTACCAAGCAGTGTCAGCAAAACTGAACTAGTTGTATTCCCTCCCCGCCTTTTTTTGTCATTGTTGCTATAAATTGGAAATCAACAAACCTATATTTATATTGAAAACATCCCTGAGCTACATCATGATGGAACCATGGGCTGACTCTGCATAAGGCTGCTCCCTATGAGTTTTAGGAGCTTAAAGAAAAGGTTGGAATGCCCACGTCTCTGACCCACAGCAATCCTGTGGAGGGGGAGCGATCTGAAGCAAGTCTTAGAAACAAGCAGAAACACTTAGGTGGTCACATATTATTAGGAGCATCCTATCGTCTTAGACCCATTGGTCCCTCTAGCTCAGTATTGTCTACATGACCTGGCAGAAGAAGAAGAGAAGAGTTTGGATTTGATATCCCGCTTTATCACTACCCTAAGGAGTCTCAAAGCGGCTAACAATCTCCTTTCCCTTCCTCCCACACAAGAAACACTCTGTGAGGTGAGTGGGGCTGAGAGACGTCAGAGAAGTGTGACTAGCCCAAGGTCACCCAGCAGCTGCACGTGGAGGAGCGGGAAGCGAACCCGGTTCACCAGATTACAAGTCCACCGCTCTTAGCCACTACACCACACTGGCTCTCCAGAGTCCCAGGCAGGGAGGCTCTGCCACTGAGCCACAATTCCACTATTATTTATCGTCGTCGTCACCCTTTTGCAAACAGAAAGGGAAGGGTGGCTTCTCCTTGTTTGGCTTTACTGGCTAGCTCTGGCTTGGGTAATTATGGGATACGAGAGGGAGGGAAAATCATCCCCGTACCCCGCACAATTTGCAGTTGCTGCACCATTTCTTCGCGGTAGGCCAGTTCCCTCTTCATCTGATCTTGAAAGTTATCTGTGGGGTTTAAAAAGGGATCTGTTACTCCCGGGAAAAAGGAAATCCGGCGAAGCGAATATATACAAACGTTGTTCCCTCGCTTCTGAATGTATCAATCCGGATTAACTGCAGACCCCCGCCACAATCCAAAAGACACAGAAACAATTTCGGACATGCTTTTTCGTTTATAGGTTTTCATCTAAACTGGCTTCTTTTTTCCGTTTAAAAGTGCAAAGGCACCCCCCTCCATATACAGTGGTACCTCCGGTTTGTATTAATCTGGATTAATTGGTAGTTTCCTTTCCCCGTCCGGCCCCGCTTCTCCCATAATCAGAAAAACAATCTCAAAGGTTTCTTTTCCTTTAACACCCCCCTCCCCGTTTATTTTTCAGGGACAAACACTCCGGTATTAATCCGGATTAACTGGTGGGGTTTATTCGCACAATCAATCAAGAATACAGAGAAAGCATTTCAGCGGCGCTTTTTCTTCTAATTCCGGGTTCTTTCTCGCTCTGTGCTCCCCTGCTGTCCTTTAAAGGAATCTTGGCGTCTGACCTCCCTTAAAAGAGAATGTGTGAAGCGGGGCGGAGGAGCAGCCGCTCTTGTAAACAAGCGAACAGTTTTGAAAGCGGTTGGGAAGACAAAAGCTAAGGAGGTCTGGGCGACCTTGAAGACCGGCCCCAAATCCAGGCCCTCTCGCCTCCTCTGCCCAAGACCCTTCTCCGTCCCCGCCCAGCTAGGCTTGAAAAGTTGGAGAAAAGTCTGGGTGGAGTATCTAATAGTCGCACCCGCCTTGCAGCGACCTCGCTATAGGAGTCCGCAACCCGAATCAAACACCCTTCGAAATGCATGGACTGAGTGACACTTCCTCCATCTTTAAGATCTCTCAAACAGAATAATTGAGGGGCGATGTATGAATGGAGGAATGCGCGCTCCACCTGCATGAAAAGCGATTTTCAGTCCTGTTGTTGTTGTTGCCCTCCCTTCATGGTAGCGGTTAACAATAATTTTAAACCTCATAATTATAACGAGTTTGAAATTGTTTACGCTCGTAATTTATGAGGATAGGAGCGGTCCTGCTATTTTAGAGGGCAGGTCAAGATTTAATTCCAGTTCAGCTACAGATTAAACACCCGACGAGGATGACGCCCTCCACACCCTTCAATAACATCGATATCTCGATTACTCTGGAATGAGTCAAATTAATTTCCATGGAACCCACTTCCTAGAACTGAGGGCGTTTCATGGGAATTACTCCCAGGTAAAGAGGTTTGTGTGCTGGGAATGAATGGAAGAGGAGATTCCTTTCTCTCTGTCCTCTAATTCCCCCTGCCTTTCGGGGTGGGAAGTTCAGGTACCTCCAAATAATCCGCCTTACAGATACAGCAGTTCGGCTCAAAACCATTCGAGCCAAGCAGAAACTCTGCAAAGGCGCGAAAGAGTTAACCTATAAATTAGCAAATTAATAATCGATCGGCTGCTTCAGCAACGGCAAGAGCGCGGAATATCAGATATCAATTCCTGGCGCCTTCAATTGGCTGAAGGGTTTTAATTTCTGCTTTCCAACTAAACTCCGATTTCCCCTAAAGATGCTGAAAGCTTGCCGGTCAGCTCGGTGTTATTTGGACCGGACTTGGAAAGGGTTGCGCTCAGCTGCAAAGGGCAGGCAAAGACCTGTTTGGGCAAGTAAGCCAATGCAAACTTCGCAAGTGAAACCCGCATTTAGTCTTCAAAACTCACAACTAAATTTTATTAGGACCGACCGAAAGGTTACAAAACAGTGGCAAGCTTCAGTGTTCTCCAGAACTCTTCATCAGGTACCATGCAAGATTGCCTGATGAAGAATTCTGGAGAGCTCCAAAGCTTCCGCACTCTTTCCTAAAACTGTTCGTTGTTCCTAATAAAGGTATCGCCCTACTGTGGATTTTAGAGGTTTCTTTGCTTTCCCTTATGGACCAACGTGTCTCCCTTGGCCTTTTGTGTACATTTTAATCGGATGGTCAACAATCCATTAATTGCAATCCGCTTCCTGCAATTTCGCCCTTATAAAATGTTTTATTTGCAATCGTTGTAGAAACAGCGGCCCTTTACAGAGACTTAAGGAAGGCGGTGGATATACCTTTCAGACTTTGGAATTCCCGTTCCAGTTTTTTCCTCAGCTCCATTTGCTCCATGAGGAGTTTTTGCAACTCATCTGTGAAGAAAAGAATATTGGGTTGAGCCCAGAGGGAGAGTCGGGGTAGGTGGACCCCAATCCTCTCGTTTCCCCATGGGGAATCATATAATTGCAGAGCTGGAAGGAACCTCAAGGGTCATCTAGTCCAACCCTAATATAAGAGATTTTATTAGAGAGAAAGAGAGAGAGGGAGATTGACAGCTAGGGCATTTAAATTCGTCAAAAGCTATTGTTCTAATTTCGGATTGTTGCTATTTTAAAAGAAAATCAAAACAAAACAAAACAAATACGCTCAATGCATCTTCACTACCAGCGCAATCCAACGCCTGTTTACTCAGAACTAAGCCCCTTGAGTCCCAGGTCAGCGGGTTTCCTTGAACCCCAGCTACAAATCTGGGCTGAGGAGGTAAAGATCCTCCTTCCAGATGCGCCCTAACCCGGTGAGGAACCACCCATCTCACTCTCCTGCTTGGATACTGACAAAAGACCCTTTCAATCTCTCCATTCCATACCACAGCAGAAACCCATAGCGAGGCTGTCAATGCGCATTATGAACGGGCTCCCCCCGCCGCCGCCCCAGAGATGGATAGATAGATCTAGAAATTAGGTTCGATGGGCCACAGATCTCGAGGAATCGCTGCTAATATGTCCCTCTCAAATCTACATTAAGACAGGCAGGCGAGCCAACAGGGTCTCCTGACCTAGAAACGTGAATGAAAAACCGGGGGGGGGGTAGCGAAATGCGGGAGGGAGCGCGTTTGCTTCATCTGGTGACTGAAGAGCGAGGGAGACGTTTGGGCTACGGAGTGTAGACAAGAGAGACTGGATGTAGGCAGACGACGGGAAAAGAGAGAGAGTTTGTGTAAATAACAAGGCATGTATTTAATAAGAAAAGAAGAGCTACAGTCTCTCCCCGGTCTGGTGCCCGGTCAGTTGGTTAATGTAAGAGGAGTCTGCTGGATCAGGCCCATCTAGTCCAGCATCCTGATCTCACAGTTGCCAACCAGATGGGAAACCCGCAAGCAGGATCTAACCATAAGAGCCCTCTCCCTTCCTCTGGTTTCCAGCAACTGGGATTCAGAAGCATTGCTGCCTCCCACTGTGGAGGAAGAATATAGTCATCGTGGCTGGCAGTCACCGATTAGCCCTCTCTCCATGAATTTATCCAGTCCTCTTTAAAGCCATCTAGGTTGGTGACCATCACTTCCTCCAGTGGCAGTAAGTTCCACAGTTTAACTGCACGCTGCGCGAAGAAGCACTTCGGTTGGACTCCAGCAGGCTAGGGCTGATGGGAGCTGTAGTCCAACAACATCGAGAGGGCACCAGGGTGGGGGGAAACTGAGCTAGAAGATACCAGGGGAGGAAGTCCGAGGGGGAAGAATCGCTGTGGATTAGCCCTTTGTGAAAGTTATCCTTAGATGCTTCCCACTGTCCTCGACCTTCTTTGCGCAGGCCCCGCTCCTCTCCCCGCCCCCTTCCCTCGTCCAGCAAAACCACCAAAAAGGCACTCTTACCTCTGGCGAGGTTCCCAATGTCTTTCTCCCCCAGTTGAGTCCCGGTGACGTCAATGCTGACCACCTCGTCTCCTGTGCCCAGGAAAGAGGAAAGGCAAAGGGTGAGAGCTGATTCCGCCCCCGCCCCCCAAAACGCGCACACACCCTGGCAAGGGCACCAGAGGAACCAAGTGTAGGGGGAACTCCCCCCCCCCCGCCCCATCATCTGTCCTTGGCGGGCAGTAACAATGGACAACTTGGAGGAAACAAAAGTAGAGATGCGGTTGGTGGAGATTATCATACATTTGATAATCAAAATTACTGTGAGACTGACTCCTTCTCGACATTTGTGCACATGTTGAAAGAAAAGACCCCGGTCGTCCCTCCAATATCACGCGATGACATGCACGTGTGGACGGGCCGGCATTGGCCCAACAGCAAGAGCTTCGCGTAACCTGTCACGGCCTCAGACACCAGGCAGAGCCAGTTCAGGCATTCAAGAGCAGAGCTGTCAAGTGATGCTCACGCACGTGTGAACTCAGCCTTCCTAGCATTGCCATCGCTTCCAGGCACACCGCGCTTGCACCCGGTCGCTAACATCTCCTCTGGGTCCTGCTAGGCTTGTCGTACCTCCTTTTTACCTACTCTATATATTACAGCATAGAGCCTTAAAGCGTGTAACAGCTGATTTTAGAAGTCTGGCACAAACCCGGCAGAACTGGGAGCACATTTACTGGACACTTAGTTCTCGTCTGAAAAAATGGGCATAATGGCGACATCTCTCACACACCGGTCGTGACTACACGACCAAATGTAACAAAGATGGCTTTGAAAAGGCAAAAGTGACATACGGCTTAGAAATCCCACTCGCCTCCTTCCTTGCAGACTCAGTTTGCGCTCAGTATCAGTCCTACACACCACCCGACCATAGGCACGTGTGAATGGCCGTTCACAGATCTAAACGCCACCCAGAAGATTTGCATACTGCGCCAAACGCTGGGTGCTACTAACTGCGCATTAAGGTTAGACGATGCAAAGGACCTGCGTTCTCACGTCAACCAGACCGCAGCTTAAGCGGTTTCCGGGTCCTTGGGGTGGGACCCTAAGGTGTACTCAGTCTGAGAGTAACCCCGCTGAGTCCAATGGCTTACTCATTGGCACCTTTCATTTAAGGTGGGGGGCGATTTCCAAGGAATCCCACAGACAGTCCCGGGACTGGCTCTCGAGTAAATCGGGCTGTTGTTGCAAAGGGGCTGAGAAAGACTCTGGCAGGAGAAAGCATCGAAACAGCCCCGCGAGGGGATCCAGGTGTCGCCCTCTTGAATTAACTACCGACTGAAAATTTCAAGAGGGCGGTTTGGCTGGGGGTGGGGGCCAGAGCAGCCGCCGCCCTTGAATGGAAACCAAGCGGTTTCTTCCCAGCCAAATCCCGCTGCTCCTTTGCGCGGAAAATTTATCACCGAAATTACAGAGAAGCGTGGAAGGTGTCGGGAAGGGAGACAGCGAGGAGTCCCAGCCCCCCTTCCCCCGTTTAAGGAGGCCTTGATTTGTAACATCTCGCTATACCGTCGCCATTCCTTCGTTCTCTCTCTCTTCCTAACTTCAACTTTAAATATTTATTTACCATGTATTGGAGGGGACGGGGAGCAAACCTCTCACTGAGATCTCCAATACATCTGGCGCTTCTTCTCCCCTTTTAAACTGGGAGGGCTGCCTTATATTATTTAACTACGGTCCAATATATCAGTTCTGAAAAAAAGATGAACCGTGCTCACATGGGCGTAGCCAAGCGGGGGGGCAGGGGGCAGTTGCCCACCCCCAAATCAAGTAAATCAGTAAAAATATTTAACTAACTGTGGTTCTGCCCCCCTAAGATAAAGCCCCCCTCCCAATAAATCCTGGCTCACGTTTTTCCCTCCTCCGCCACACGCACGTTTAACTTCCGAGAAGTTTCATTGGTGCTACATCACACATTGAACTTTAGACCGAAGCCCTGGGACGGATGGAGTTATATACCCATCGAAGTAGCCCTAAACAGCCTTGGCCAACCTGGCGACCCCCCGCCCCCAGCTGATTTCAACTACAACTTCCTTCAGTTCCAGCATTATATAGCTCTGCTGGGTGGCGGGCTTCAAAGCAGCTGAAGTTGTTAAGAAGACCGGGGGGGGGGACCCCATGATTTACTTGGGAAGTCAATATTAGCCACTATTGACACGAAGGGTTGTTTCCAATGCCAGTTCGACTCAAGAGTTGACCCACTGGAATTAATGAGCATGGCTAACTTTGGTCCATTCATCTCAGTGTCTCTGCTGTGCGTACTTTCACTGCCACTGAGTACATAGTAAAAATGCTTCCGCTCACAGCTATTTCTCTCCCAGTCCGTTAACAGAATATGAGTGGGAACTACTGCAAAGTTTTCACTTACAAAGCCCATATCCGTATACAGAGGCTCAGTGAAACCTCTGGCCAGAAAAAGGACTCATAGCAGACCCGGTTGTCTTGATGCTCCCTTTTATCCTAAGTTTGTGGTCGTCTTAGTGCAGCCAGATGTTTCGGTCAAAGAGTCCCACCATGACTGCTTGAGGATGGTGGGACTTGAAGTCCAAAACATCTGGAGAGGATCAAGCCCAGAAAGGCTGTTTTAGGGGCTTTAACTCCAGAAGCCCCAGCAAATCTAGGCACCGAGTCTTTCGCTAATAATCAGCATCAACCAACCCTTCTCTTCCAGTTGCGAAGGAATTTATTATTATCTCGGTCAATGAAAACAGGGATGACAATGAGGGCACATCCTCAGCAAATTTTGGCCACCAGGAAGTTTCCTTTGGTTGAAGGTGAACCTGACCATTAGCCAACTGGCCTGGCCGGATGGCTAAGCACCTCCAAGAGCAGGCGGCATAGCCTGGAATCCTCTGATCCACCTCCTTTGCGCCGCTGCTTCTGCAGGGTAGGTCTCCGAGGCAAGAGGGCCTTTAAGAACACCTTTGCTAACCTGGTGTCCTCCAGTTGTTTTGGATTGCAACTCACATCAGCCCCAGCCAGCAGGGCCGTAGGAAGTTGGGGAGGTGATGCAGCCCACAAAACCTGGAGGCCACCAAGTTGGGAAAGGGCTGGTTTCAGGGCCGCCCACCCTCCTTTTTCCAAAGTCAGCACATCATTTTACCTCGGTCGGTGTGGGCTGGGCTGGGCTGAGAGACGCTCCTTTGGTTCTGATAGGATTTCTTGCTCTCCAAATCCTCAGCTGTCGAATGATTGTCTTCTTTATCTGGTTCTTAGAGCGAATAAACCGATTTTGCAGCACAGGCAACGAAAGTATGAGCCTGATATATCCTTAATTACATAATTAAGGACAAAGTCCTCGTTAAAGCCTTCTTAGGGGACAGCCTAATCGCCTTGCTGAGGAAAGGAGCTTGCTCCTTGGGAAGCTTTTATCCCACCAGTTTTCTAACCACCACCCCCCTCCACCGACTCCTTCCTCAAGCAGCGTTCCCAGCTGCCCTCCTTCTATGGGGTGGGGGTGGGCGCGCGGCGTCGGCTGCGCTTCAAAGAAGTGGGCTTTGCAGAGTCTCTCCTTTGGAGAGTTGAAAACATTGCAATACGACCCCCGGAAAGAGCATGCTTGATTAAACGCCTGCAGGGCACAGTCTATTTTCTCCCTCCCCCCACCCCACAAATAAATAAATAAAGCCAATAGCAATATTAGACAAACAATATTGGCAGGTGAAAGTTTTGTTTAAAAAAAAAAATGACTCCTGGTTTATTTGAAACGTTTGGCCAAATATTACTTTTTTAAGGAAGTGGAAACGTTTTGACATCAATTCAGGCAATTATTAAGACTTTTGGCATCAAACAAAAATCCCGCCCGTGATGCTTCAAAGTATCTCTAGGCACGTGGTTCATACTTACCATTCCTCTCCGGAGTGCAGAGGTAAGGGGTTGTCTGTGGGCCCAGAGGGGTGCTGGCTTTGAGAGCTTGCGACCGATCCTCTCTGTCTTGCGGATACACCTGTGAAAGAAACAGCGCAACAGTTACATTTATTATTATTTTTCCTATGCTCCACTGTTTATTTTTTATTCTATTTGTTAATTAAAGTTATGCCGCCGTGGGAAAATCTCTCTGAAAGCAAATAAGTGAGACCCTTCCCCCCCCAAAAAAAGCGTTCCAAACGCTGCCAAATTGGAAACTCTTCGTTGTCCCCCGCCCAGCTTTTCCGAAAACAAGACCCCGCTCCAGCTCAACTCAGAAAACTAATTGTCCATTGGGGAGAGGAAAAGGAGTGGGGGGTTTTCGGCGGCTGTGTGTGTAAAAGGTCTCTTGTCCTGCACAGAAAAAGCCACTTCAGCTGCAATTTTCTTAGAGGTATATTTATTGGCGACGGTAGAGGAAAATTAGCCCCCTTCCAAGTCAGCCTTGGAACTCAAGAGTTTTTCAAAGCCTGCAAGCTTCTCTTCCCTCTGACCTGCACACCCCCCGGCATCACCCCCACCTTCCCTTTCTCAGCTCCTCAAATCTAGCAGTACTTTAATTCTATCAGCTTCAGCCAATAGATCCGGGGGTGGGGGGAGTGACGACTCTTCCTAGGTAATCCGTGTCCTTATGGTTCCCAGGGGTCGTGCCTGAAACACTTCGTGTCTAAAGAGTGTGGCGGGGTGGACCAAGGAAGCTGTGGGGTGGGTGGGGGTGGATTTAGGGAGGATTCATGCTGGTGATCCAGTCCCATCGGAGGTAGTTAAAATGGGGAGGGGAAGGGAGAGAGAGACCTACTTCCTAATATTGAAAGCAGAACTCTCCTTTTCAGCTAAGCGAGACACCGCTCTCCTCCCACCCCACAGAAAGCGGGCTGGGGGGGGGAGTCCTCGCTGTGGCAGTCCCTTGACCCCTCCCCGTATTGTATTATCTCGATTAGCGTCCTCCCGCTTATTCCTAGCGTCGATAATTCTCCCTCTTGTCAACTGTTTTGAGCGGGATGAGGACTAGAAACTTGCGTTGCCTCGCTCCACGCGCACAGCGTCTCTTGCCTGAGGACTGCGCTCAGACTTTTAGGGTCTTTGCAAGTGGGTCAGTTCATACAGCAGCGGGCCAGTCACTGCCTTCACTCAATCTAGTCTACCTCACAGGGTTGTTGTTGGCATTAAATGGGGGGGGGATGTACCACACCTGGAGCCCCTTGAAGGAAAAGGTGCTCCAGAAACGCGGTAAATAAATAAACAATGATTTAAAAACTCTCTGTGGGGAGAGGGCTTCCTTCCCAAATCCATTTGATTCGAAGCGTCTTTCGAAACGCTGCCTTGGTGCGCCCCTCTAGCTGTTGCCGGAGCAACCTGGTTCAAAGCCACCGCCTCTGCCATAGAGAAATTGGGGCGGGCGAGGCAAGTCCTCTGGGCTTCATATTAATTAGATGCCTGCTATGGCATCTGCCCCTCGATTCCGGGAGAGATGGGGCCCACCAGCCGGTCTTCCGACGTCCGGAAGCAGCTTTAACCCAACTCCCAACCTTCGCGGCGCTGCGAGCTGGGATCTGTCCACGGTGCTGAAGACAGCGCAAGGGCAGCGCGGTGCTTTCGCAGCATTTGCGGTCTTTTGGCAACGGGTGGGATGCACACTTTCAAATCCGAGCCGTAAATTAACGGAACTGGAAAGGTTTTGACACTTCGGCTGCGATCAGGGTCAACCCACCGCGTTCTCCCAGCCCAGGCAGGTACAGTCATGGAGAATCGTATCACGTGGTTCAGGGCTGGCCTGGCTCAAGCCCACGGATATCCCATCAATGCGTTATTAAGAGTGCAGAGTTAGGAGGGTCTCACTAACTTGTGCTGAGTTTGCCCAGGGACATGGAAAGCTGTTTCATACCAAGTCAGGTCATTGGCTCATCTAGCTCAGTATTACTTACACTGACTGGCAGCGGCTCTCCAGGGTTGAGAAACGGGGATCTCTCCTCCTAGCTTTACCTGGAGGTTCCGGGATTCAACCTGAGACTTTCTGCATGCAAACCAGGTCTTCTAAACTACCCCTGAGCTACGGCCCGGCCTTTCTCCTGAAAATGTGGGAAGAAATTTGCAACTGAAGTGGGGTTACTTGGTCCAGCATCCTTTCCTTACCTGGCCTGTCTTTTTTTTAAAAAAATTGATAATTCCACAACCTACTTGAGCAGATAAAAAAACAACTTTTAAACCTCTCGGACTTCTTTCCAATATGCAACTGAAAGCCATTCGGTCGCACGCAATTAAGTTTTACTCAGAGTAGACCCATTGAAATGAATAGACCTATGTTAGTCGTGTTCATTAATTTTCATGGGTCTGCTCTGACGAGGACTGGTGCTGGATCCAACCATTGGTTTCTGACCTCCTTCCTCTCTCCCTTGGAAGAGTCTCCCCGCATCCCAGTCTCCCCCAGGCGACTTTTATCCGAGTTCAGTAAAACCTTGCGCTCCTGCAGGGTCAGATTAAGAGGCCCTTAGCGTTTAGAAGATTATGATGCACCCCTCCAGTCTAGTATGTAACTCAGAATAAAAACAATACTAAAAGCGGGCGAAGTGCGCGTAGTGGGATGAAAGGAAGTCTAACAAAGTTATGATTTTCCCCGACCACAGACAACCAATTCGGTGCATTTTTTTAAAAAAAAATCAAATGTCAAATTCTTAAAAATAAAATAAAATATCGGTTTGTGAGCGTGTGTCCCTGTTCTGCTGGTGCTCCAAGCACGTGCTTGGTCTGCCTATTGGGAAATCCAGAGCTGCACTCGCGAGCAAAACCTCGGAGCTCAGGGTCACTCTTTCCTCTTACTCTTGGTCTTCTAGACCAGGGAACACTCAGACTCCCAATTGTTTAACAAACTACAAACGGTCCGTCTTCCCACCTGCCTGCTTATATCAAGTAACGGGGTGGAGGAGGGCAGGGGGTCCTTATCGGGCAGGACTGCAAGCTCCCATCTGATTAGGAACATGCATTGCTGGGCTGAGCCTGGGCTCCCAGCCTCCCTACTTCTTAGCCACTACTGTATTTTGCGCAAAGGTTATGGAAAATCAGCAAGAATAACGAAGTAGAAGGTCCCACAAGCCCGAGGTCCTGTCCTAAACCATCCACCCACCTGCATCTGGCGGCCACGGCTGGGAGAAAGTCTCTCAATAACACCCCCTGCCGCGCGCGCGACCTCCCACTCCGGCGCTGGAGAGCCGCCCAGACCTAGATCTGAGCGACTCACGCTCTCTCCGTCGTGGTGGAATTCGGGGCGAGGACGGGAGGGTCAGGAACTGGCATCGCCGCCCTTGGTTCCCACCCCGCTTCCCCATATCACCCCTCCTCGCACCTCATAGCCGCCCCTGCTGTTGCTCCTGGCCGGGGGGCTCCCTTCGGGCTCCAGGGCCTTCTCCGCAGGCTTCTCTGCGGCCGCCAGGACGCCGACGCTGCCAACGGCTGCAAGAGGCTCCTCGGTCTCGGTCAAGAGAAGCTGCTGGGGCGGAGAGGCTTCCTCGGCTTCCTCGACGGGCACCTCTTCCTCGTCCTCGTCCTCGGGAAAGCGGTTGGATTCGACGTCCACCTCGGGCTCGTCCACCGTGTCGTTGCCCGGAGAGAGGGAGCGGTAGCTGGAGCTACCCTCGCTGAGGAAGTCCGGTGAGAGGTAGCCCGGGCAGCCGGTGGGGCCTCCGTAGGCCTCGCGGGTCCCGTAGAGCTTGGCTATGCTCTCCGCGTCTTTCACGACGGGGCGGAAGGCCGACAGGTAGCTGCCTTTCCTGGGCAGGGGCAGCGGGGGCAGCAAGGCTTCGTCCCCGGAGCGCTCCTCCTCCCCGACGGCCGCAGCTCTGGAGAGGGCGCTGGAGCAGCGCTCGCCGTCGGCGGCCCCGGAGCCCGAGCCTTCCTGTGGGGTGGCGCTGCTGCGCTCGCTGCCCGACGGTTCCGACCCTTCCAGCTCCACGTGGCCGTGGCTCCGCAGGCCCAGAGGTTCTACTGCGGCGGCTGCGGCGGCTGCGGCGGCGGCCACAACAACCGCCGTGGCAGCCGCCTTGGCCTGGCTCTGGGCTGGGTAGGGCGGCACCGGGAGGCTCCCGGAGGCCGGCCAGAACATGGGGAAGGACGGGTAGACTCCGCTGTCCTTAGCCGAGCCCCCCGGCTGCTGCTGAGGCTGGGGCGGGTGGGGGTGCGGCGGCCCCCAAAACATGCCCTGCGGCAAAGCACCGGCTTTGACCTGGTCGCCTCCTCCGGCGCCTCCCAGGGAATCGTCCTGCTTTTTGGGGCACAGCCCGAAGGCGGCGGCGGGGAAGCCGTAGGGGGGCGGGAAGAGAGGCGGCGGCAGCTTCTGCAGCATCCCGAAGCCCTTGCTGGGCACCGGGATGACCGGGTAGCTTCGCACGGCGGCGGCCGGCCCGTGCGCCCCCGTGGGCAAGCCCAGCCCGCCGCGCTCCCCGGGCTGCTCCTCGGCGCCGCTGCAGCGCAGGCTCTTGTGCACCGGGGGCAGGTCTGTGGAGGAGGGCGGCGGCGGGTGAAGGGCGCTCTTGGCCGCATGGGAGGCGCTTCCGCCGCCGCCGCCGCCGCCCGCCCCGTGTAAGGAGAAGGTCCGCTTGCGAGTGCCGCCGTTGAACATGGCCTTGACGTCCTCCCAGGCGTGGCTGAGGTCGTCGGTGGCCGTCTTGTCGCTGAGCTTGAGGTGGCGGCGCCACGAGTTGAAGTTGGCGGCGTCGGGCTGCGTGTACTTGGCCTCGGGGGTGCGGTGGGAGTGGAAGATGAACTTGTTGGGCGAGAAGTACATGCTGCAGTAGCTGCACTTGATGCACTTGGCCCGCGAGCTGTTGTAGCGGGCCGGAATGAAGCTGCCGCGCGAGCCCCAGGCGCACTCGTGCACCACGTCGAAGGCGAAGTTCTCCGGCAACTTGGGCGGCTTGTGCTCGCCCAGGAAGGACTTGCAAAGGCGCTCGGCTTCCCGCTTGGTGATCATGCCGCAGCGCCGCGAGGAGATGGGCATGGCGCCGGCCCGACGGAGAATCTCCAGCTGCACCGGGGTGCACTGCACGCAGGTGATCCCCAGCGCGACCCGACGGTTGTGGATCTCATTGTAGCTGTAGTTTTTGAGCAGCGTGTTGGAGATCTGCGCCAGGCACAGGCGCTCCTGCCCGTCGATGACGAGCGACACGATGGGCACGCCATACAAGGAGGTCTCCCCGACTTGGTTGGGCTTCAGGGGGCTGGCGCCCGAGTAAGGCTGCAGCTCCTGCTTGGAGTGGGGCGAGGAGGAGGAGGAGGAGCCAGAGTCTCTCCCAGTTCCCAGCTGACTGGCGGCGGCCAGCGACTCCATCTCCCCCCCAGACGGCCGAGCTCCTGCGAAGGAAGGAGAAGAAGAAGAAGAAGCACTCAGGACGAGAGGAGGCTGCCAACATTTTCTTACGAAGTGGTGGGGTGGCGGCGAGGAGGGGGAAGCCGCGGCTTGGGGAGGGAGCTGGGCGGGGGAGACTCGACCCCCAGAAGCCCAGAGGCTCGCCGTCGAGGCAAGAGCCGTCGCCGGAAAGAAATAAGGACAGACCAAGTTCACCGACAGCCGGGCCCAGTCGATCCAGCCAGGCGAAAAACTCCTTTGGGTGGGTGGCGGGGGGAGCACTCGTCTCTGCACCCTCCCCTCCCTTCCTCCTTCCTTTTAGGCGAGGGAAATGGGGTTCCTTCTTGACCCTCTATCGGAAATTGTTGGAGCCTGGGAACCCCATCAAACTCCACCGCCGCTACCCCTCAAACGAGACATTTCGAAACCCCGCAAATATTGTGAAAGAGACAAACGTTGCTTGTTGTTTTTAGAAAGACAGACACACACACACACACACACACACAACCATGGTGGAGCCTGAGGCTAAACACTGCCCTGGCTGGGGTTTCAGGGGTGGTTTACAGTGAAACAAACAAACACATCCCAAAAATGTCACACGCGTGACTGGGGAGAGCGTGTGACAGGCTCCCCAGAACAAAGTATTTTCTCTGCGTTTCTCCGTTTTTCCTTCACATTCACTCACTTTCTCTCTTTTTAAAAGGACTTAGTTCTTTTTTTGGGAGGGGGGATATGTTTGTTTTGTTTGTAAATCCTTGTGCATATGTTATGGTATATAGTCAACCACAACAGCAACAACACTATTAGGAAAACGACAATTGCTTCCACCGGGGGCGGGAGAAAAGGAGGCGGCTTTAATTAGAGCAGCGGGCAATTGTATTTACACGTTAGAGGAGCTACCCAGCGAATCCGGAGCCAAAGCGCCCGGCTCGCTCCCGCTTTAGACGGCCAGGATCAAGGCTGGTTTAAATACACTCGCTGCCTTTCTTAGCCTGAGCAGTAATCCGGCCCCAACATGGTGCCAGATGTATTTAACAAAAAAGAAAGAAAAGAGCAAACAAACCCACAACCAACTCTGGGTTTCCCTGCTGCCAAACAGAAACGGGGGTTGAAAAATTAGGAAAAGATCCAGGAGCTTCCAAACAACCAGAAAAGGGGGGAGTTGGGGTGGGGGAAGCCAGTCCAAGTTGCTTTTATTGCCCCCCCTCCCTGTATGGGTCTCTAATTTCTAAATAGGGTTGATGGAACAGACTTGAAAGTAGTTGCGCATCGTTGGAAAGTCTCCCTCCCCCTCCTCCCCCGTTTTCTAATGTCTTTACAGGAGATTAGGAGCAAGGAAGATTACTTAACCGTGCCACTTAAAGACTCCACCGGCACGTTAAAAGAAAATAAAAAAGAAGGAAGTGGGGGGAAGCGGAGCAGCAGAAGGGGACCCTGAGCCAAGCGAAGGAGCTTACCCAAACAGGATCGCCCCGGATTAAGTAAGAGGCTTTCGTGGTAATTACACAGAATAGTCCAGACGCTGGTGCCTCGCTCAAATGTGAATACAAACTTCCTCCCCCCCCCCCCATCTCACATCTTCGTCTTCCCCCGCCAAAAAATAAAAATAAAAATGAACATGCAAACAAACAGGCTCCAACCACCAGAAGACAGATTGTTTAAAACCTAACAAGAAAAGGGGAAACGCGAAATAAACAAATGCGCCTTCACGTGAAAATTAATTACATTTTCGAAGGACATCAATACGCAAAGCAGGACCCCTCGCTGGGCCTGATTTTTTTTTAAATTGTATTTGCCCTTTTTTTTAAAGTGGAGGTTTATGAAAAAAGTGGCTGATCTCCGGCAGCGGCCGCGAAAAGAAAGCCAAACCCGAATTCAGGAAGGAAATATTGATTATTAGTTTAAAAACGAATATGCACAGAGAATACAAAAATCTAACAAGCAGGAAATCGGAGGAACCAACAAACAGACGCAAGGCAGGCAGGCGAGGCTCCCCAAACAAACCTGCAAAATTAGAAGAATCTGGGGAGGCGAGATTATTATTTATTTATTTTTGCAGGGGCAGGTGGAGAATAGCCGAGGCCAGGCTGTCTTTGCAAAAGCAACCGTTGCGAGTGCCAAGCCAAGCGGTCTCTGGTACTATCCCGCCCCCCCCCCCCGCAAAAAAACCCAACAACAACCAAGCTTCGGTTAAGGCAGGCGCGGAGAGGGGAGAGGGACTTACCGTCGGCAAACAGGCGGTTTCCTCTGCCCCAAATCCTGGACGGGCTAGGAGCCTCCGGCCGCGGCGCGGAGTTTCATTGGGGTTGCTGCTCCAGGCGGGCGCCTGCCCTCCGCCTCCGTCCGTCGGTTTGGAGATGCGAGCAGGAGGCTGACCACATGGCTAAGCTTCACGGGAAGAGAGAGAGAGCGAGAGAGGGAAGAAGGAAGAGAAAAAAAAGAGGAAGGAAGGAAGGAAGGAAAGGAAGGAGGGAGGGAGGGAGGGAGCGAGGGAAGGAGGGGAGAGAGAGAGAGAGAGAGGAGAAAGGAGGATCCTGATCCTTAGTTGAAGACGTTGTACATTGATCCAGTGACAGCTAAAATAATAGGAAGGCAACTCCCACTTAGCAGCACCAACATATTTACCCGAAGTGCCGTCGGGACTCTGGCGCGTGTCAATCATCCCGCGGCGCCAGTCAATCAAAACGCAGACGGGGCTTCTTTAAGGAAAAACAGATTGCCGGCTTTGGGGGGGGGTAGCGGTGGGAAAGGGGGCGTTGCGGGGGGAGGAGGAGGAAATTCGGTGCGAAGCAGCCGCCGCCGCGGGCGCCGAGAAGGTAAGCGTGCGGACTTGTTCCTTTGCCCCCCCCCCCTTTTGCACACCTTTCCCCGGTCAGGTATCTTCGGAGGAGGGCTGGGGAGTGAAAGGGAGGCTTGGAGAGGTCACCCCCCCCTTCAAGGCCACACGCCAGGCAGAACCGTTTCAGCTCCCCTCCTCGCGACTGTTGCCTGCTCAGCGCCAACTGGGGCTCCTCGGTTTCCCTGCTCTGTGTACCCCCCCAATCCCCAGGGCGGCTGGTTTCCTTAAAGAGGCGTGGGGGCAGGGGCTGGGGGCCTGAGGTGTGGTGATATTAAAGGGGCAGCGGGCGATGTTTCGCTACGGAGTGGAAGGCGATGTTCATTCCACCTCCTCACCGACCGCCTGGACTTCGACAGCGCCGCTGAACCACTTAGTTTCGCGGAACGCGGGAAGACCCCACCAGGAGCTGTACATACAGAATTTCGGGGGTGGATGGGGAAGCTACAGCATGTTCGGGGCACAGAGTGCAAAGGAAGGTATTTCTGGGCTGAGAGGCTGCTAAAACGCTGGAGCTTTTACCACCTGTCTAGGCGGCTCAGGTCTCTGCCCCGCAACCCCAATCAAACTGTGCAGAAAGACCAGAGTCCCGCAGGCGAATTTCTCCCCCCCCCCCGCTTTCTTTTTCCTCTTCTGGCGTCCCACTTTTATTTGCTTCACCACAACTGAAAACCAGAAATGGGAAGCGGGTGGGTAGAATCTGAGCAACCCCTCCCCGCTCCCAAAATAACAGTTCCTCTCCCGGACGCCGGGAACGAAGCGAACTGAAGCAAAGGGTTGCTGAGGGTCTGGGCACGAAAAATCTACAACCAGAGAGAGAGGACAGATCGTATCTCCCCCTCAGGCAAAGGCGTTGATTTAACAGGCAATCTTCTGGAGGGGGCGGGGCGGAGGGGGGAGAGATACAACGAAAAAGATGCCCAATTAACTATTCATAAGCCGATCAATAGACAGCAGGGCGGGCGCGGGGGGGGGGCATTGGAACCCCGGTGAGTTCTTAGCTTTGCAGGAATTGTCGGGCAAAACTCGTCCTCCCTTCTGAAGATGGGACACATGTCTCGTGTCCCCCCACCCCACCCCGCGCCGTCTCATGACACAGTATCGTGGCCACCGTCAACACGAGGCGATGAGCCCAAAACTGCGGGGAAGGAGGAGGAGGCTGGTGCCTAAACTGTACGGCTTGATCAATATTTATAGCCTCATTGGCTCTGTTTGCAGGGAGGACATTTAAATAAGGAAGTGGAAATACGCCTGTCTCGACATACCTAACGGAGAGCCTGCTGTTTAACGGGGAAAGTTGAGGCGTCTTGGAGTGCCCGGGACCGGCTCAAATAATTTACCCCTATAAAATGATCCCTAAATAGTGCATGTTAGCGTGACACAGGTACAATTATTTACATACCTGTTTTGGACACAGACTGTCTCTCTGGATGATGAGTGATGGATAGGTTAAATTGATTAAAATATTTCCGAGGAACATTTTGCTGCATAAAAGTGCAGCTAAATATTTATTTCAGACTTTCATATACATAAATGGAGTGGGGGAAAACAGCGGAAGGGGGTTTTCTAGTTCCTTTCATTAAAAAAAAATCCTCCCCAAAACAAATAAATCCGGTAGATAAAATGACGATTTCCCTCGTAGTTTGTTTAGCACATCCCTTATAAACTACCCGTCCCAATCATAAACTTGGATTGTTGGAAGAGTCAAATGGGACTTCTGGTGCCCAGGGTTGGGGTCTGAAAATGCCTCAGTGGTCAATTTCCACCGGAACCCACCGTAGGAAGGGGTTCAAACGTGGGATATAGACTCAATTTCAGACCAAGATTGGCTGCTCCCGATCGCGAAAGGGATGGAAGGAAGGAGGCGTGGGTTTTTTTTGTTTTTTTTTTAATCCAGCATGCAGGGAAAGATTTCGAAATTAGAAAATATTTTTATTTTATTATTAGTCTTGGATTTAATTTCTTCCCAAACGTATTTCTGTCAGAGGCTCCCTCCTTCCTTTTTTTGTCTTCCATCTCTTCCCGCTTCCTTCTTATGGAAACCTGACCCGGTGTATTTCCCCCCCAACCAAATAAATGTTAAAAATGAAAATTAAGCCGCCGCCGCCGCTTCCAATCCCCCCTCGCTCCTCTTTCCTGGGGCGCC